CCCCAAAACCCCAAAACCCCAAAACCCCAAAACCCCGAGACACTTATTAATACTAATCATAGAGTGGAAGAATATTTTTAATAAGGTTCAGGTTTGGAAAAATTATATTAATATTTTGATATAATGAATTATCAAGCATCCAATACGTAATAGCTGCCACCATAATATCAAAATTTTTCTGGCTCTATGTATTCATTCCAGTAGCAGTAGCCACAATACTAGTAAGAAAACTATCAAGTAAATCCTTTCTCATTTTTCGAGTCTCAGCGGAGCATGTAACAAATGCGGATGCCTTCAGGTTATTCTGCACATTACCAGAATATTCAAGAGACTTTGTATTATGAACCGGGTGACGGAGAGATATTTGTATATTATGATGATGTGGCAAACTTGCAGAAGATGGTGACTTGCATTGATATATCCACGCTTTTCAAAGAAAAAAGAGCCAAAGCTATAGCTATTACTAATTTCTTAGGTTAGGTTAGAAATGCTAACATAGTCCAAATCTATTCGCACTAAATAATTGATGAAAAATATGTATATATAGAAATGGAGGTGCCTCAAAACTTGTCGTTGTGGAAGACCTTCTGCAAAAAGAAATTTATGCCTGATGAAGTGTTCAACATTATTAAATAGGTAGGATAGGGACTTGAATTCTTACATAATCTGTGTTTCACCCATCGAGATGTGCATCCTAGCAGATTCTAGTAGTTTTAGAATAACGTCATCAAGTTTAATCCAATTGGGTTGCCTTACAATTTCAAAAAACTCCTAAAAAGGGAAAACTTCTCTGGCCACATTAACTATTCAGCCCCAGAATTGATCCTTGAAAAGACTATGTTTTCTTCAAAAGTTGATGTCTGGTCTTTAGGCTGCTCTCTTTACTACCTCGTTATAAAAAAAGATCCTTTCGATGGACCTGACCCAAATGAAATCAAGAGGAATATCCTAAACTTAAACCTTGAAAAAAATCAATATATGATGATCCCAATGTTTTTAAGACCAATAATTGAAGCTTGCTTTATCCTGGATGAAAATGTCCGACCAACTACAAAATAACTTATGCTATTATTAAACTAAATGTAACAATCTTTCAAATATCAAAACTAAGAGCCACCTAGACCCATTTAAAATCAGTAAATTCCAGTATAATAAATGAATAGCAGCAATAATATAGGATATCAGCAATGCACAAAGATCGGAGGATAAAATCAGTTCTATCCTTAGTAAACAATGCAAATGGTGGCCCCTTCTCAATTATATCAAAACATTAACCAATCAGCTTACTCACCTATGAAAAATTAAAATAATAGTGTTTACTCTGGTAGCCCAATCAAATAGCAAATTATTCCTACTCAATTTACTGAATTTATTCCTTAATCAAAGAGGGTAAGCCAGTCTTAAAACTTTAATTTTATCTAGAGGCCATAACTTTCATCAGATCATCTAATTGATCAGATGAACTAAATGAGCATTGGCTAGTATTAGCATAAAAATTACGTAAAAAGTAATCATTCTTCGAGTTTATTTGACATGGATAATACTGATAAGATAGACTCTTATGAAAGTAAAGATAGACTCACAAACTACGATAGCAACTTATCTGAAGACCCCTATAACGAATAATAATTTTCATTCTCTCCTAATTCAAAGCAGCATCAATTAGCAGAGGATAAATTAGTTTTTCACAACAGGCATAGTTAAAATGAAATCAAAGCATTCAATGACAATGAAGGTAATTATTACTAGGGAGAAGTCTTCAATAATCAAAAGCACGGATAAGGAAAGTAGATGTTCGCTAACCAGAGTTTTTATGAAGGTCATTGGAAAAATGATCTTATGGATGGATATGGTAAACTTGTTCTCACTACTGGGGAAATTTACATTGGATCATTCGTTAAAGGAAAGAGACAAGGAAAAGGTAAACTTCTCATCAAGCCAAGTGGGGAAGTTTATGAAGGCGACTGGAAAAAGGATAAGATGACAGGAAAAGGAAAATACTATTATACTAATGACAAAGAATTCGAGGGAGATTTTGTCGAAGGAGCACCTTATGGATTCGGCATCATGAAATGTCCTCAGTACTACTATGAAGGCTACTTCAAAAGTGGTCTCTTTGAGGGCCAGGGGAAATTCATTGATAAAATCAACAATCAAGTCTTTGAATGTGAATATTATGATGGGAAACGCAGGGGTAAGGGTAAGTAAATAAACATTATCTCAGGGGATTCTTTCGAAGGAATTTGGCTTGAGGATAAGAAAAATGGGCCAGGAGTCTAAAGTTACAAACAACTGGGCTATTCTATTAAGGGTATCTGGAAGAGTGACGAAATCGAAACTGTAAATATTATTCACGACTATCATATTATCGATGACGTAAACGAATATTAATTTTGACATATAAAAACAAACTTACTGATAACACTTTTCACACACATTTTATAAATGATAACACTTTTCACACACATTTTATAGCTGATAACACTTTTCACACGCATTTTATATAGCTATCTTATGGGGTTTTGGGGTTTTGGGGTTTT